AAAATTATTGATTTAGAAGAAATGATAAAAAATATTAAATAAAACTTATGGATAGTTTAGAACTTGTTATTTATATTTTTGCAGTTTTATCCTTGCTAATTATAGCTGGTTTTTTAATTTTATTTCTTCCTTATATTCAGTATTTAGCTGTAAGCATTCTATACATGGCATGTGTGATTTGTCCTGATAACATTAATTCTATATTGATTTAGCCATATGATGCTAATTATTTGGCAGAAAATCTGATCAAACATATATTTTTTCATGAATATTTATTTATGAAAAGTGCAAAAAGAGTATGTAGAGGAACCAGATTACTGTGTCAAGTAATGTTACTTGAATGGTCATGTTCCTTGACCAAAGACATTTGTACAAACTGTTAACTGAGTGCAGTGACATAACAACAAGTAAGAGAACAATCAACATTAACTGCATTCCTCTTATTGATTCGATTAATTGATTGATTTTATAATTTTTGTAGCAATTTCATATATTGAATTCTCAACATCGAATCTCATTTACCCTGATATTCCATTAGGCATAAAAGCAGTTATGGAGGCAATTTATGAGCCATCACAGGAAACCAAACGGATGGATTAAGTCTCAATCTCCCATGGAATGAAGAAGATTCAGTCGACGAGAGAGCTGCTGCTTGTGGATTATTCAAAGTGAGATTTTTGAAATTACGAATAGACCAATAGAACATTCGCTAATTCTAATTGAATAATCACAAGATCGGAATGATATACACTGATATTATGAATGAGGTCAAGGAAAAGTAATTTGCAAGCGACACATTGACTCTTATTTTCTTTCTTTCTTCCCAAGAATGCTGTTTCTCTATCACGTGATGCAAACTAAAAGTGAGCGTCTCCGGAAAATTCTTGAGTAAATTCGTAATGGGAAATGAGAATGACGAGGTTGATATGAATGCATATCAGGTTTCTAGTACTTGTGAGGCGATGGTAGCTGCTGACATTATGTTCCTGAAGTATTTTACAAGTACAAAAATGAATATGATATGAATGTACAAGAGAACGCAAAGTCTTGTTTCTGTTCAAATATTTACTATTAAATGTAAGTAAGCTCTTATGCGATATTTTTTATGGAATTACATATTAACCTAATATCTCTTTCACATCACTGAAAGTTTTTCGATCGAAAATTGTTCAAATATTGAAGTATAAGCTCTCAAAATATTACAGAATCATCTTGACGCAACTAAAGATAATGCTCATCTAGTGAATGTACTATCAGATTTTCATCTGCTTACCTTATCAAGAGTACTGGAATATTCAATAAGATATCGATCAGAATAAATCTTTTTTGTTATTGTGCGTAAAAAAATTATCATCTATTTGGCTTATATCTCAAAAATATTATATAGAAGGATTTGATACATTGACAAGAATCATTGTTACACATTTTGAGGCTGATGCTACCTGCTACTCTTTTTGAAAATCCTGGATGACAGATATTTTTGGCTATAATGCAAGAGAATGGTAAGTTCCCAGATTTTGGTTTTGTGTTTTTCTGCTTATTTGTATTTGGAAAAACAATAACTGACATTCTAATTTGTTTCAAATGCAGATAATACACCAATAAGAAATCAAGATGTAAACTTTAGCATGATACAGACAATACCCAGCATTGCTGTCGATGATGCAATAGCAGAAGGCAATGCTTCATTAGATACGAGAGGAGGATGGAGTTGCAGGCATTGCACATATTCGAATTCATATACTGTAAATTGCGAGATATGCATATTACCAAAAATAGTGAAAAAATTATTTTTATTGTTAAAGACTCAAGTATTTATTCGTCTGTGTTTATGTGTATGTTATATTGTAAATTTTAATACTGCTAATGAATGCAATCAATTAATGAAGATATTTACTATACAATTGTTAATACATAAAATATAAATTTTAAAAGTCAAATACCAAAAAATATACAATCATTATTCACAGTCATTGCTTGATATGATACAACACCCGAAGATTTAGATGAAGTGATATAAGCAATATAATCAGATCCAACTCTGCTAGAGCTGTTTAACCTCCTTTTGCTCATCGATTATAATATCAGCAATTCACCAACGCAGCATCAACAGCATAGTTGGTGGTCCCAAGCCATTATCCATCCATTAACATAGCAATAAAGGAAAGTGCCTAATACAAGAATTAGATATAATAGTAATGTGAGAATTATCATAATTCTAAAAGAGACATATTTGCAATTAATTATAATCAAGCATCCATTGAAATCTCAATTAATTTTACAATTATTAACGTATAAATTTGAAATATTACCAAAGTCAATCCAGCCCAGAAACCACAATCACACAATATCACATCAGAAACATTTTTTTTCTCATTGTCCAACACCCGTAATTCTTTCAGTCTCAACACCTGGCCTTGGTCAACAACGTGTCTTGCCAAATCAGAGTAGCAATTAAATAAAAAATTAAGGTGAATATCACACTTTTTATAATACATAGAATCACTGAAAGTATTCATGATAATCATACAGGAACTCTGATATTGGAGAGCCTATTTGCTTGTAGACAAAGTAGAATGCAAACAATAGTTCAAGTGCAAGAAGTGCTACAAACCCTGTAAAAAAAAATAAAAAACAAAAATCAGGAAAAAATCCTGTTTTTTAGTTCCGGAAAATCACAGGTTTTGTTAACAAATTTCCGGATTAAAATCTGATAAAAAACTGCTTAAAAAT